CGGATTACAGGAACATCGACAGAAGTACAATCCTTTCTTTGGTGAGGCCTCACATAAAGTCTGTTGACGTTCGTGGTATTTGGAAGAAGGAGAAGAGTAACAGATGGTTTATCACTTTCAAAAGCAGGAGCAGCGCGGATAAAGTGTGCAAGGCTGGTGCCCTAGTGACAAGACAGTGACAAGATTCGGATTACCACCTCCCCCTATGAGAAACAAACAGTGAGGTTGAGATGCCACTGGCTCCCCTTAAACTTGAGGCTAAGTTTTTTAGCAAAATACTTTTCACAATTTGGAAATGTCCTTGATGTGGCCTGGGACAGTACTGTTGTTTCAGGGGACCTTACATGTAATAGTGGTCTGGCCATTGTTACTCTTGAGGTGAGTGATGAGGGCAGGAATGCGATTCCATATATTGTTCGATTTGAAGATGGAGAGACAATGTTAATTACTGCTCCTGGACGCATGTCACTCTGTTTCAAGTGCCGAAGATTAGGTCATGTGAGAGCAGTGTGCCCTAATCCACGGATGTCCAGAAATCCACCAACTGAGGAGGACGACGTACCTGGATCGTTGTTTCCTCGTGGAATTGTTTTAAATGGTGCCTCCAAGAAGCCAGATGATGAAAAATCCTTGTCTGATGTGTCCGACAAAGTTCTGCATGAAGTTGATGCCATTGAGAAAGGACAGGATGTGGACTTGATGGATGAACAGAGTGAACAAGATGCTGACATGTCAGAAGGTCAAACAGAAGCAGAACTTGTGAGCTCTGAGGATCGCATTGGTCAAGTTTTGGACAGTGAGGAGTCTGACGGACATGAGGACACCTCCAGTGTCTCCGAAGGCAATGAAGATGTGCACCATAGGACTGAAACGTATTCAGAAGCAGTGAAAAAGGTTTCACCTAAAAGGACCCCTCCTTCTACACATGGCTTGTCAGGTGTGCCATCTGGTGTCGTAGCAGCAGCTCTGGTTACTCTGCAGCCAAGGGGTGTGGTTAGGCTGGGAACATCCGCTTCTGAAACCCAGATGAAAAAGCAGAGAACTGATCCACCGGATGATATTCTTTGAACTCGCTTTCAATAGATACGGACACGAAAACGCCTATGGACAATGAAATGGAATATGGACTTAAACATAGACGCACTGGACTCTTCCCTACGGAAGTGATATATGTGTGTTTTGACGTTCTCTTTAGTGATTTAAAACTCACTAGATTACTTGTGTATTTTTCACATTTTTCACTGTGGATATATTCGTTAAGGATTATCTCCTGTAATGGATTATCTCTTTCACGTGAGTATGCTTGTTTAATTTTGGTGATGATTGAAGTTTATGATGGCACCATCTAACGATAACGCACAGAGAAAGAATGCTAGAATGTTTTCCATTTGTACATTAAATTGTTCTGGTTTAAGGGGAGGGGTTAGGAGGAGAATGTTGAAGCATGAATGGAAGGCTATGAATGCAGATGTTTTGTTTTTACAAGAAACGCACGTTGCTTGTGTGAAAGAGGGTCAGAGTGTTGAAAGAGAGTTGGAGTGCAAGGCGGTTTGGAGTTTCGGTACAGGTTCTTCTTGTGGGGTGGGTATTTTGCTATCTAATAAACTGAACTTTAAAATTATAAAGTTTCATTATGATTTTGATGGTCGTTTATTAGTACTAGATGTTGATATGTGTGATAAATCGTTCCGATTTATTAATGTTTATTGTCCAAACGATGCCACTGATAGAAGACGGTTTCTTAATACCATAGATGTTCATCTAGTTACACGGCGTTTTGTAATACTTGGAGGTGATTTTAATTTTGTAATGGATATTTCATTAGACAAAGTTGGTGGTAATCCTCTTGCAGGAAATGATGGATCTAAAACTCTTCTGAACATTCAGAATAATTATCATTTGAAGGATCCATTTCGCTTTCAGTATCCTAGAAGTATTGTCACTACATGGCGTCAGGGTAATATTTCTTGTAGACTTGATAGATTTTACGTATCTTCTTTTGTTTTGGATAATGTCAATAATTGTAGATTAATACCATGTTCCTTTTCGGACCATGACTATTTTGCTTTTGATTTTATGATGTTAGATTCGATCTCAGTTGTTCCAGGGTACTGGAAAATTAAAAACTCTATTTTAGAAGACGGAGATTTCCAGGTGTCTTTTCGTAATTTTTGGACTGGTTTAGATGTAAATGACACTCTGTCACATTCTGAGTGGGAGGATCTTAAAGGTAAAATCAAAGTATTTATTTCCCGCTACTGTGTTAAAAGAGTAAATGTCAAGAGAAATGTTCAGTTTCAACTTCAGCGCCGATACAGAGATCTATTAAAAGCTGAGAGTAGGTCTCCAGGAGGCTTTACTGATCAACTTACTGCTGTTAAGAAGCAGTTGTACAATTTTATATTTGATACTGCTCAAGGTGCAATTATTCGTTCACGAGCAAAGTATTTAGACAATAATGAAAAGCCTTCTAAATTCTTTATGCAAACTGAGTTTAAACATTCAGGTGATAAAGTTATTCATAAACTAATTGATGATCAAAATGTTTACACTTCACAGAATGACATTTCTAATCATTGTAGAAACTTCTATGCTAATTTGTTCACTGAAGAGGACATTGATGATTTCTACTGTGATGAATTTATAGATAATTTGCCATCTTTAGGGAATGTGTCTGATATGTGTGAAGGTATGATTACAAAAGAGGAAGTGTTTGCAGCCTTAAAAAGTATGGACTCTAATAAGTCTCCAGGTTTGGACGGTTTGTCTAAAGAATTCTATATAGCATTTTGGGATCTGTTTGGTGACATTTTAACAAATATATACAATTCCTTTTTTAACTTGGGTCATATGTGTGCCAGTCAAAAACATGGTTGTATATCCCTTTTATGTAAGGATAGTAAACACCCATACTTATTAAAAAATTGGAGACCTATTAGTTTGCTATGTGTTGATTATAAGGCGCTTTCTCGAGTTTTGGAGAATAGATTGTCTTTGGTTATTTCTAACATTGTGCACCCGGATCAGACATGTGCTGTGAAGGGTAGATCTATTCATGATAATTTGCATTTAGTACGTAATGTCATTGATTATGTTGAACAAAAAGAGTTGTCAGTATCCTTTGTTTGTCTAGATCAGGAAAAGACTTTTAACCGTGTTAATCATAACTTTATGTTTAAGGCTTTACATAAATATGGGTTTGGTCCTCAATTTATCCGCTGGGTTAAACTGTTGTACACTGATATTAAAAGTTCAGTGTTAGTTAATGGTCACCTTTTTCCTTCTTTTCCTGTTACCAGGAGTGTACGACAAGGTTGTAGTTTATCTCCTTTGCTATATGTTTTGGTATTCGAACCCTTTGCCATAAAAGTACGAAATGACAGTTTAATTTCAGGTATAAAACTCCCAGGTTCAAGTGTAGAAGCTAAGTTTTCAGCATATGCGGATGATGGTACTGGAATTTGTGTGAATGGTCAGAGCGTGAAACGTTTGCTTCAGTTGAGTGCATGGTATGGAAAAGCATCTGGTGCAAAACTAAATGTTAATAAAACGAAGGGAATCACATTTGGAAAGTGGAAGTTTTCAGCGGATCACCCGTTTGGGATATCTTGGCCAGAATCTTGCAAAATATTGGGAGTTAAATTTGGCAGGAACATTACCTGTGATGACATTTGGAATGATATTTTGGTAAAAGTTCATGGAGTGCTATTTATTGGTTTCAAAGATAGACAGTTGTCAGTATATGGAAAGTCCACTATTATCAAAAGTATGGCTATGTCCAAGGTTTGGTATACAGCAGGAGTTACACAGATGCCAAGCCATTATTGTAAGTTGATTCAAAGGATGGCTTTTAGTTTCTTTTGGGATTCACATAAGTTAGAGCCACTTAACCGTCACATATTATATAATACCCTTTCAAATGGTGGTGTAAATTTTGTACATCTTATTTCACGTCTTCATGCTCTGAACTTATTTCATTTGCATACGTTCATCAATAATTCTTCTTCCAAGTGGGCTAAATTTGCTCTATACTGGGTTGGAATGGCTCTGAGAAAGGTCAGTCCTAGTTTTGCCTCGAACTTAATTCCACATTCTCCAGTCATTCCCAGCTATTATGAAAAATGTTTGATATCCTATAGGTATTTTATGACGCTTTATCCACATTTTGATTGGAATACTCCTATGCATACAAAAGACTTTTATTACTTAATAATTAATGATGTTGTGATGAAATCCAAAGTCATTACCTCATTTCCAAACATTGACTTTTCAGTAAGCTTTCAGTCATTGTCTAATCCTTTCTTAGATCCTCTGTGCAAGAGTTTTGCATGGCGTATTATGCATTGTATTGTTTCAACTAATTACACATGGTATTGTCGTAGATTTACATTTAATAAAAATGTACTTTTTGTTCTGAAACAGAGACTTTAAGGCACCTGTTCTTTCAATGTGAAGTAGTTAAAGACATGTGGGATATTGTACATAATTGGATATTTGATATATCATGTGGTGTGGTTGATTTAGATTTTGATATGATAAGGTTTCATAATCTTCCTGGCATTAACTGCAAATATAAGCAGTCAGTTATTTTGTATCTTGTGTGTCTTGCTAAATATCACATTTGGCAGGTTAGATCCAAAGTTAAATTTTGGCACAAGTCAACATCATCAACAGGTATGTTTGCTGGATTTGTTGAAAAACTGCGTTTAAGAATTTTATGTGATAAGGTACGATTTCCAAATGATGTGTTTAGGAAATACTGGGTTGATGTAGGTGTTTTTTGTAAACTGTCCCCCAGCAATCACATACAATTTAATTTTGATAGTTAAGTCTAGTTTTATATAAGTGTCAAAAGTTTAAATACTGTGTAACATTTTGTAAATTGTTAATCTCTTCAATTGTATATAAAAGGTTTTATCAGATATTTGTACAGTTTTCATGTAAATATGTATATATATGTGTATGTCTATGTGTATTTATGTAGTCTTCTTTGAAGACAAAACTTTATACGAAATAAAAAAAAAGAAAAAAAAGAGGTCCATCCGAGGCGTGGTTATTGCTAGTTGAAAACTAATCCCAATACCCCGCGCTGACGCCCTTCACTGGGCGGCATGCGCAATTTTTGTTAGCTCCTACGGGGGCCTCATAACTAATATAAAAATAGAACTTCAATTGAGGAAAACAGTGGGTTTTTTTTCTTATTCGCTTCACACACACAACCCGAACATTATGATCTTGTCATTCTAGTTTCATCTTGTTACGACTGGCTGTGTATTGAACAAAAACTATTCCTCCATGTTATTGATACACAGCTATGCACATGTGAACGATTTAAAAGTATGACAGTTAGAGTTAATTGCCCTTGGACGGTTTTACGCTAGGTAGCGCGTATATGTCGTCTGGTAAACGTTCTACATATCATATGCTTTTGCTGCAGACGGATGTGATGTAATTCCGCGCATTCTGCCTCACCGTCGATTATTAATGATACCAAACACGTCTAAAACGACTTTATAATTTACCTAAAGCTTTTGAGAGTGTTACCACAATAGAACCAGAAACCACTAAAATGTACGCATAGAACCGAAATTAGTTTGATCGTTGTGCATGAATTAAGTTGCTACACTGAACGGTAACATGCATATATAGTTCATGTGTTTGGAAAGCCAGCCAAATCTCCTCCCTATAAAAGGACGTAATCACAAGACTGTAGTGTATTGCTAACGCAGTACATATACTAAAATTGGAACGATACAGAGAAGATTAGCATGGCCCCTGCGCAAGGATGACACGCAAATTCGTGAAGCGTTCCTTTTTTTAATCTTTACATTCCACCCATTATTGACACAACAAGCTGCATCCAGCATTCAGGTGGCAATATGAGGCGAAGTTGATGTTCGCACTTTAATTGAGAGTTATATGAACGTTTATAAGTGATATGAACAGACTGCATTATCAAACTTATATTTTCTCTCTTTCTTTCACCTGACGAGCTTTGTACATGCCCACGGTGGCATGGTGTGGAAAGGCACCCAGGGATAAACCGTCTCTGTATGATTTGTTTAAAAACTTAGATCATTGTTTAGGATTTCTATGAAATCTCAGATTATCGCAGCCTCCACTTAATTATGTTTGAATGGATGATTATTCCCGCCGAGCACTGCTGTCGCGCATGTCACCTTGCTGTTAACATGAACGTATATCCTACGATGGCTTAAGCCCTCACTTCACTCATCATTGCCGCCTGTGTTAAATGAATTTAACATATTTCAATTGAGACTCAAGGTGTCTGCCCAAACTTTACTTATCCCCAGATGGTTACTAGGGTCGCACTTGAATGGGTGACTACTGCCAGTCAGTGTCAGGGCTTGTGGCTAATTAAACCGGCTTTCTTTTTGTTAAAGTATGCAAATTAGTTCAGACTAGGCATTGGTAGGTCCTTGAAACAACAACCTTCTTATGAACATGTTATAACATTAGCTTTGCGCAGTGGCGGTACCATAGCCAATGAGGTGCATCCGAGGTGTGTGGTTTCTACGTAAAGCGATTTTGAGTCTTTCTTTATTCAGGTCTACGGGCGGGCTAGGCATTGCCTTCTGTTTTCGGACACCCCCCAGTTGCTGTTTCTACCTCCAGTGATGGCTTTGGCCAACGCTGTTCCTGGAGGAAAGATTGACCCACAGTACTATGACCCATATGTGGCGAAGTGTACCGTTGCCCTGGATACGTCGGATTACAGGAACATCGACAGAAGTACAATCCTTTCTTTGGTGAGGCCTCACATAAAGTCTGTTGACGTTCGTGGTATTTGGAAGAAGGAGAAGAGTAACAGATGGTTTATCACTTTCAAAAGCAGGAGCAGCGCGGATAAAGTGTGCAAGGCTGGTGCCCTAGTGACAAGACAGGGGATTCGGATTACCACCTCCCCCTATGAGAAACAAACAGTGAGGTTGAGATGCCACTGGCTCCCCTTAAACTTGAGGCTAAGTTTTTTAGCAAAATACTTTTCACAATTTGGAAATGTCCTTGATGTGGCCTGGGACAGTACTGTTGTTTCAGGGGACCTTACATGTAATAGTGGTCTGGCCATTGTTACTCTTGAGGTGAGTGATGAGGGCAGGAATGCGATTCCATATATTGTTCGATTTGAAGATGGAGAGACAATGTTAATTACTGCTCCTGGACGCATGTCACTCTGTTTCAAGTGCCGAAGATTAGGTCATGTGAGAGCAGTGTGCCCTAATCCACGGATGTCCAGAAATCCACCAACTGAGGAGGACGACGTACCTGGATCGTTGTTTCCTCGTGGAATTGTTTTAAATGGTGCCTCCAAGAAGCCAGATGATGAAAAATCCTTGTCTGATGTGTCCGACAAAGTTCTGCATGAAGTTGATGCCATTGAGAAAGGACAGGATGTGGACTTGATGGATGAACAGAGTGAACAAGATGCTGACATGTCAGAAGGTCAAACAGAAGCAGAACTTGTGAACTCTGAGGATCGCATTGGTCAAGTTTTGGACAGTGAGGAGTCTGACGGACATGAGGACACCTCCAGTGTCTCCGAAGGCAATGAAGATGTGCACCATAGGACTGAAACGTATTCAGAAGCAGTGAAAAAGGTTTCACCTAAAAGGACCCCTCCTTCTACACATGGCTTGTCAGGTGTGCCATCTGGTGTCGTAGCAGCAGTTCTGGTTACTCTGCAGCCAAGGGGTGTGGTTAGGCTGGGAACATCCGCTTCTGAGACCCAGATGAAAAAGCAGAGAACTGATCCACCGGATGATATTCTTTGAACTCGCTTTCAATAGATACGGACACGAAAACGCCTATGGACAATGAAATGGAATATGGACTTAAACATACACGCACTGGACTCTTCCCTATGGAAGTGATATATGTGTGTTTTGACGTTCTCTTTAGTGATTTAAAACTCACTGGATTACTTGTGTATTTTTCACATTTTTCACTGTGGATATATTCGTTAAGGATTATCTCCTGTAATGGATTATCTCTTTCACGTGAGTATGCTTGTTTAATTTTGGTGATGATTGAAGTTTATGATGGCAACATCTAACGATAACGCACAGAGAAAGAATGCTAGAATGTTTTCCATTTGTACATTAAATTGTTCTGGTTTAAGGGGAGGGGTTAGGAGGAGAATGTTGAAGCATGAATGGAAGGCTATGAATGCAGATGTTTTGTTTTTACAAGAAACGCACGTTGCTTGTGTGAAAGAGGGTCAGAGTGTTGAAAGAGAGTTGGAGTGCAAGGCGGTTTGGAGTTTCGGTACAGGTTCTTCTTGTGGGGTGGGTATTTTGCTATCTAATAAACTGAACTTTAAAATTATAAAGTTTCATTATGATTTTGATGGTCGTTTATTAGTACTAGATGTTGATATGTGTGATAAATCGTTCCGATTTATTAATGTTTATTGTCCAAACGATGCCACTGATAGAAGACAGTTTCTTAATACCATAGATGTTCATCTAGTTACACGGCGTTTTGTAATACTTGGAGGTGATTTTAATTTTGTAATGGATATTTCATTAGACAAAGTTGGTGGTAATCCTCTTGCAGGAAATGATGGATCTAAAACTCTTCTGAACATTCAGAATAATTATCATTTGAAGGATCCATTTCGCTTTCAGTATCCTAGAAGTATTGTCACTACATGGCGTCAGGGTAATATTTCATGTAGACTTGATAGATTTTACGTATCTTCTTTTGTTTTGGATAATGTCAATAATTGTAGATTAATACCATGTTCCTTTTCGGACCATGACTATTTTGCTTTTGATTTTATGATGTTAGATTCGATCTCAGTTGGTCCAGGGTACTGGAAAATTAACAACTCTATTTTAGAAGACGGGGATTTCCAGGTGTCTTTTCGTAATTTTTGGACTGGTTTAGATGTAAATGACACTCTGTCACATTCTGAGTGGGAGGATTTTAAAGGTAAAATCAAAGTATTTATTTCCCGCTACTGTGTTAAAAGAGTAAATGTCAAGAGAAATGTTCAGTTTCAACTTCAGCGCCGATACAGAGATCTATTAAAAGCTGAGAGTAGGTCTCCAGGAGGCTTTACTGATCAACTTACTGCTGTTAAGAAGCAGTTGTACAATTTTATATTTGATACTGCTCAAGGTGCAATTATTCGTTCACGAGCAAAGTATTTAGACAATAATGAAAAGCCTTCTAAATTCTTTATGCAAACTGAGTTTAAACATTCAGGTGATAAAGTTATTCATAAACTAATTGATGATCAAAATGTTTACACTTCACAGAATGACATTTCTAATCATTGTAGAAACTTCTATGCTAATTTGTTCACTGAAGAGGACATTGATGATTTCTACTGTGATGAATTTATAGATAATTTGCCATCTTTAGGGAATGTGTCTGATATGTGTGAAGGTATGATTACAAAAGAGGAAGTGTTTGCAGCCTTAAAAAGTATGGACTCTAATAAGTCTCCAGGTTTGGACGGTTTGTCTAAAGAATTCTATATAGCATTTTGGGATCTGTTTGGTGACATTTTAACAAATATATACAATTCCTCTTTTAACTTGGGTCATATGTGTGCCAGTCAAAAACATGGTTGTATATCCCTTTTATGTAAGGATAGTAAACACCCATACTTATTAAAAAATTGGAGACCTATTAGTTTGCTATGTGTTGATTATAAGGCGCTTTCTCGAGTTTTGGAGAATAGATTGTCTTTGGTTATTTCTAACATTGTGCACCCGGATCAGACATGTGCTGTGAAGGGTAGATCTATTCATGATAATTTGCATTTAGTACGTAATGTCATTGATTATGTTGAACAAAAAGAGTTGTCAGTATCCTTTGTTTGTCTAGATCAGGAAAAGGCTTTTGACCGTGTTAATCATAACTTTATGTTTAAGGCTTTACATAAATATGGGTTTGGTCCTCAATTTATCCGCTGGGTTAAACTGTTGTACACTGATATTAAAAGTTCAGTGTTAGTTAATGGTCACCTTTCTCCTTCTTTTCCTGTTACCAGGAGTGTACGACAAGGTTGTAGTTTATCTCCTTTGCTATATGTTTTGGTATTCGAACCCTTTGCCATAAAAGTACGAAATGACAGTTTAATTTCAGGTATAAAACTCCCAGGTTCAAG